AGTGGACAGAGAGAGTGGACAGAGAGAGTGGAGAGAGAGAGGACAGAGAGAGTTGAGGAGAGAGTGGACAGAGAGGACAGAGAGAGATTGGACAGAGATTGGAGACAGAGAGAGTGGACAGAGAGAGTGGAGAGAGAGAGGACAGAGAGAGAGGACAGAGAGGACAGAGAGAGTTGAGGAGAGAGTGGACAGAGAGTACAGAGAGAGATTGGACAGAGAGAGGACAGAGAGAGCTGAGAGAGAGGACAGAGAGAGTGGACAGAGAGAAAGGACAGAGAGCGGAGTGAGAGAGTGGACAGACAGAGAGCTGACAGAGAGGACAGAGAGAGTGGACAGAGAGAGAGAGGACAGAGAGAGTGGACCGAGAGCAGAGAGAGTGGACAGACAGAAGGTGGACAGAGAGAGGGTGGACAGACAGAGCGAGTGGCCAGAGAGCACAGCCCCGAGGAGACGCCCCTACCGTCCTGAGCAGAGCCTCGTCCTGCAGTCAGTGTGAGCCACAGCAGCGCACATGCGCTCATCGCCTGTCGCAGCCCCATGATTCCCAGTGCTCCTGGTCGCTTCTCAACAGGTGCTCCGGGGAAAGGCTGTGTCTCCGGACGCCGGCTCCAGGTTTTATAGCGGCGCAGCAGAGGAGGAGCCGGACAGCATCAGAGAGGGGTCCGCGATCTCCAGGATCCTGGGGCGTGACGCTCTCCACAGCAAACAGAATTAAACTTTTGCGCAAAGCGGATCACGCTAAGCTGTTTGGACAGGCCTTGTCAGACAACAAGAGGTTTGTCCTGTCGCTTGTGTCCAGTAATCATCTCTCCCTGTCCGGCGAGAGACGAGCACAGCCGTCAGGATGGTGATGTGTTTGTGCAGAGAGGGCATCTGAACTTCTGGGCCTGAGCGTCACAGCACAGGGGAGCCCCGCCCCCTCCGTTCTGGGGGCGCAGGTCACCCCTAAACAGCTCGGCTCGTTGGGAAAGTGACAGTTTGACACCTGGTGCTGAAACATTACTGTAGAGCTGAGAAACACCACCAACTGGACCAGACCTCAGCGAGGGAGAGATCTGGACCACACACAGACCAGTCAGGACCAACCACAGGCCTGGACCGCACACAGACTGGTCAGGACCAGCCTCAGGCCTGGACCGCACACAGACCGGTCAGGACCAGCCTCAGGCCTGGACCGCACACAGACCGGTCAGGAACACCAGCACCGGAGAGGCCAGACCGCACACAGACCAGTCAGGACCAACCTCAGGCCTGGACCGCACACAGACCGGTCAGGACCAGCCTCAGGCCTGGACTGCACACACACCGGTCAGGACCAGCCTCAGGCCTGGACCGCACACAGACAGGACCGGACCGTCAGCACCGGAGAGGCCCGGACCACCTGTTTTCGGACACGAGTAGGGAGGCCTGTGCTAGCGCCTGATTCATGTGCTGGAGGTGCAGAGTAATTTGAGGGCTTCTGGACTTTGAGCCCGGACACTCATTCTCAGGTGACAGCCCGCCGCACGCTGTCCCATGAGGTGATCGGACCGGGCCTGCGCTCTCCCCGGCTGAACCGGAGCCCAGCCCGGCCTCTGTTGACCCTTCTCCTGTACAGTCCAGTTCCTCAGGCTCCAGGGTCTCTAAGAGGCTTACCTGAGCAGAAGCAGCCCTGATCGGCCTGTACAGCAGGCAAACAGTGGTGTTTGCACAGCGTCTCCGGGTTTCCCACTCCGGGAATTCTGGAGCCTGGCAGATTTGTGAGCTCTCACGCACATACAGTAATCTCTGGACATACCCAGACGGCTATGAGTTAACGAGCACGCCTTCGTTTATCTGTAAGGGCACAAGAGAGGTTACGAATGAGATGAGCCGTTTGGCCCGTCTAGCCTGCTGCTGATAGCAAATTGCTCCCCGGACCTTATCCAGCTGTTTCCTGGGAGAAACCAGAGTATCGGCTTCAGCCACAGGGCTGGGCAGCCTGGGTCACACTCCCACCACCCTTTGTGCAAAGGAGTGCCCCCTGTTCTGAGTTTTAAGTGTATATCCACACAGCTTCACCCTGCGTCCTCTGGTTCGTGTTCCACTGTTGATTGTGAAGACGTCCACTGGCTTGACTCATTAGTGACTCTGAGCCTCAGTGAGGATTTTGAATACTTGTATCATGTCCCCTCATA